ACGTAAAGAGAAGGCTGTAGATTTAGCCTAAAGCTCACCAATAGGGAAAACAAGTAGCAGTTTTCAATGATCTGTGAGGGCCCCACCTATCATAGCCCCTCCCCATCTGCTACCAACCAACAGCTGGAACATGCTTAGGAAAACCTCCCGCGTCAGGTCTTTGCCCTGGGTCCAGAGTCTGCATCCTACCTACTACATATGGCACAGGGAGTACCCGGAGGTCACATGCATGAGACCCAGAGACAAGGTACCGAGGATAACCCTAAATTCCTGCAGCTCCTGAGATCACAAGGAGAGTAGGGTCAGCGTGGAGGCTTGGGGAGAGATTCTGTGGCCTGTATGCGGCATGCTGCCTAAGAGAAACAGGTGGGTAATCTGTGGAAGGCCGGAGATGGAAAACAACACTTCTGCTTCTAGAGCAGACAGTGCCGGTATCGGGTGGAGGGTAGGTAGCCTTGGGAAGAGGGATCCCGCAGAAGAAGAGGAAGAGAGTCTAGTGTGTTTCGGAGCTGACTGCTAACTTCCTCCCACATCCAGGAGACCATGACAGCCACGCTAACACTTGAAACCATGGCCAGTGGAGAGGAATATGAGCCGAGGAACTGTGTGGTGTGTGGAGACCGAGCCACGGGCTATCATTTCCATGCCCTGACTTGTGAGGGCTGCAAAGGCTTCTTCAGGTGAATGCTTTCCCCCCATCAGAAACAACCCCCGCACTCCTATCGGGCCGCCTTGAAACGCTGGCCCATCTCCAAGCTTACGGGGCTGACATACTCTCACAGCCAAGCTGTACTGTCCTGTGTCTAGCACCCTCAATCTTGCTGCCCCCAACACTGTCTGGGACCGGTGACAATAGAACAGCAGGCCAACCGTTTGTCCTAGAGGCTCAGCCTCTTAGTCAAGAGTAGTACACATGATCTGCCCAGGACCACGTTAGTACTACACAGTGAGGGTTCCTGAGTGGCCTCGCCTCCCCCGTGAAAATGCTCCAGCAGCTGCTTCTGAGGACCTTTGGACACAACTCAGATTAGCCTGTTGTTAAACCAGTTAGCTTTTTCATACCCTTCCAGCCTCCTCTTACGGCTCAGCTGCCTGCTTCGCTGCCATCTCAGATCCTGCAGTGTCTTTCTCTGTCTCGCAGACGAACAGTCAGCAAAAACACTGGTCCCATCTGTCCATTTTCTGGAAGCTGTGAGGTCAGCAAAGCCCAGAGACGCCACTGTCCAGCCTGCAGGTTGCAGAAGTGTCTAAACGCTGGCATGAGGAAAGACAGTGAGTTGGCCCCCTACCATCCCAGGACGCCATTGAGTGTGCTTCTCGGCTGTCTGGTATACCCAATAGCTCGTGTTCCACGTAGCAGGCAGAGTAAGCTTTCTGAAACTTAATTAGATTATGCCACGCTTCCCAAAGCTTCCAGTCTCTCTTTTTAAAAGTATTTTTTTTTATTTTTAACGTGTATAAGTGTTTACCTGCATATATGTCTGTGCACCTTGTGTATGCCTGGTGTTCACAGAGGCTCGAAGAGCATGTTGGATCCCCTGGAACTGGAGTTACAGATGACTATAAATTGCCATGTGAGTGCTGGGAATTGAACCCAGGTCCTCTGCAAGATCAGCCAGCGCTTTTAACCCTGAGCCATTTCTCCAGTCTCTCCCCGCTCCAATCTCCTTTGAGGTACATGATTTCATACAAATCCTACTTCAGACTTTGTCTCTTAAGCCCTTCAACACATACTAGCCACACTGGCTCGGTGCTGTCCTCGAGCGCAGCAAGCTTACTCTTCCCCAGGACTTCCCCATTTCCTCTCCCCGAAATGTCCTTCCCCTTCAAAGTCACCTGGCTTGCCTCTTCTCTTCTATCTCCGGAGTACGTGGTACCCGTCTTCTTGTAGGAACTTCTTAGTTATTCATTGCTGCGTTCCCTTTGCCAGGTAACTGTGCTGGGCTCCCAACAGATTAATGCAGCTGGCCTCCCACAGCTTCAGCCTGTCCGCTAAACAGCACAGTCACACTTGGGCATCAAGCCCATCCGCCTCTCAAACTCCAGCACTTCCATATCACACTCCTTCCAGCATGGAGCGGGTGGAAAGGACACTGTAGAAGCCAAATGGCACTGCCTTGAGTTCCGCCTGTCTCACTTATTTTATGACTGTGGAAGTGTTGCTGGAGTCTACGCTTCTGAGAAATACGAAGCCTGCCCTGTCTAATTAAAGTCGCTACAGCCAGTGAAATCTAGCCATAGAACCTTTGAAAGTACAAAGCTATGCAAATCTAAAGTGACATTTTCCAAATGAAGACCCTTCTTCAACGTTCCCAAGGAGCCAAACATCTCCCCTTCCCACTTTACTCTCCACCCCTCCCTTCTTTCCCATGGTGCACTGTTTCCTGCCGCAGTGTGTCACCGATAAATACGAGGTCAGTAGATGTGTGCGCAGGAACCCCCTGCCACCTAGACACATTGGTTCAATGAAATCCACGGAAGCCTCAGAAACCTTCCTTTCGTCCTCAGTCCTTACACGGGGAGACTGAGTAGCCTCGCCTCAAGGGGCGGAAGAAAGGTGCTCTCTGCTGCTCTCAACTTATGTCGTCTTTCTTGCCTGCCACAGTGATCCTGTCAACAGAAGCCCTGGCATTGCGGCGAGCCAGGCAGGCACAGCGGCGGGCACAGAAAGCATCCCTGCAGCTGAGTCAGGAGCAGAAAGAGCTGGTCCAGACCCTCCTGGGGGCCCACACTCGCCATGTGGTCCCCATGTTTGGCCAGTTAGTGAAGTTCAGGGTGAGAACTTACAGGATTTGTCCTGGGTGCCTGAGGGAGAGCGCTATTACCAAGCCCTGACAGAGGACAGATCTCCAGAACTCCAGAGTGGGCAGGTTCCTCAGCCAAAAACCCTTCTAAGGCTGGTGAGACCCAAAGGACAGCCAAGGCCGAGGCCTCTCACTCATGCTCTGAACTCTTCTAGCCTCCGGCCCACCTGTTCGTCCATCACCGGCCCTTCCCCACTCTGGTCCCTGTGATGCCGCTGCTCACGCACTTCGCAGATATCAATACTTTCATGGTGCAGCAGATCATCAAATTTACCAAGGAACTGCCCCTTTTTCGGTGAGTACCACGTGGTCTTTCAGGGAGTAAATGCTTCATAAACCATGCCAGGCTCTGATAAAAGTCACATATCCGCTGGCCATTCTGAGCGCTAGGCCTTTAATTTTCTGCACTAGGCATGTCAGTCGGGCCTTTTGATGGGCAGGCCTAAGTCTAAAGTGCCCTCATTTTCTGCCCCACACAGGGCCCTACCCATGGAGGACCAGATCTCCCTGCTCAAGGGAGCGGCTGTGGAAATACTGCACATCTCACTCAACCTTACTTTCTGTCTTCAAACGCAGAATTTCCTCTGTGGGCCTCTATGCTACAGAATGGAAGATGCGGCCCATGGTAAGATGGTAGGGACAGCACAGGCTGTGTGTCCGGGGGCATAAAGTATGAAGTGTGGCCAGGAGGCTCCTAAGCCTACCGCCTCTCACAGTAGGGTTCCAGTGGGAATTTTTGGATTTGATCGTCCGCTTCCATGGGACATTGAAACGACTGAAACTCCAGGAGCCCGAGTATGTGCTCATGGCTGCCATGGCCCTCTTCTCTCCTGGTGAGCATCATCCAAAAGCCAAGGAACTAACTCTCAGCCCCTTTAATCTATCCCTGACCATCTTGCTTCCCAGCCCACAGTGTGGATCTATAGCATTCTCAGTCCCTGTACCACGCGAGGCTCCCCACCTGGGTCCCTGCCACCTTGACCTTCCCACCTCCTATCTCAGACAGGCCTGGAGTCACCCAGAGAGAAGAGATTGATCAGCTGCAAGAAGAGATGGCACTGATTTTGAACAACTACATCATGGAACGGCAGAGGCCCCAAAGTCGGTAGGTAGGAGGCTGGGGACTCACAGGCTGCACCGGGGGAAGGAAGGGATTGGAGAAACATTGGGATCAGAATGAATGCATTGACCTTTGTTTCCTTCGGGAACCTAGATCTTCCCTTGGGCCACCCCTATCACACCTAGTTCCAGCACCCAAACTGCGCATACTGCTGTTCCTTCTCACTTTTCCAAGTTTTTTTTTTTTTTTTTTATTCAGTAGAGATGCAAAGTAATAGCTCATAGCCTGTGTGTGATAGCATTCCTGAGACTGGTGATAGCCATCACCTCCTCTCCAACTTCATTCTTCTTTTTGGCCCTCTCCTTTCCCTTGGGTCAACTCCTTGAATTTTTCAGTTCCATTTGAAGTCATGGTCATTCACAGTTTCGTGGGCAAAGCCTGTCCCTGGCTCGATAGTCCAGGCTCTGAAGTTAATGTCACTTTTGTTCTGCTCATTCCTTGATAAATCAGTTTGCTAAGAGGGGGGTGTTTTATACCACAGAACAACACACCCGCCTTCTAGAACCCCGTCTAGAAGGCTCCGCCTTCAGGTTCTATACAGTTGAAGTTTGGGCCAAGTCTAGTTCTTTACATTTGACCTCTAAGCCCTGGGTTCAGGAAAAACTAGGCACAAAGAAGGAAGACAGTGCTGACGGAGGCCCTCTTGGGGACTTCTGAACATTTTCAAAGTGTAGTATGCGCCATCCACAGCAGGATTTTCTAATGTTCAGACTTAACCTCCTGGAGGGGCAGTGCGGGGGACTGGGGCCTCGGGACGAGACTCCCAGCTGCCTTATTTCCCTCTTCTTTCCCTGGTAACCCTACTACTCCTTCCAAAGGTTTCTGTATGCAAAGCTGATGGGCCTGCTGGCTGAGCTCCGGAGCATAAACAATGCATACTCGTATGAAATACAGCGCATCCAGGGACTGTCTGCTATGATGCCGCTGCTTGGGGAAATCTTCAGCTGAGGCCCAGGCTGGCCTCCTTCCCCAGATCCCCTGGGATACGTTGGACTGGCAAGGGGAAAATGCTGGTGCCCAAGATGGGGACCAGCTAAAAGGAGCTCAGTCGCAGCAATGAAACACTGACCAGTATCTGTCTTTCCATGCGGTCATCCATGGGGCGTGGACAGGGCGGAGGGCAGAGAGTGGGGAGTTGGGGTGACCATAGGACCAAAGTGGCTCTCTGGAAACACAGAAGATGGGAAAGGAGGAAGTCTCAGGGCTAGGAGCTAACAGTCCTTCAAGGAATGGGTGGGCCCATTCTTTGGTCTTTCTATGGCCAAAGATTTAGCTCTTTAACCCTATTTTCCCAACCTTGGGAGGCTGAGGGATGGAAAATGGGAGAAATGGTATAGGAAGTGAATCCCATGCAGATCTTTCTGCTCTGAAGAAGAAGCTAATACCTTAATCAAATAAAAATAATAAAGAAGAAAGTAGGGTGAAGGAAGCCAGATACATCCCTTAATCCTTCTCCTTCAGTCCAGAGCCATAGAGATACGGAAAATTATAGTGGGGCTGATGGCAGAATTGGGAACCTCAAACCACTGCCTCATGGGGAAGTGATCATGTGGCAGCTTCAGTTCCGAGGAGGACACGGTCCTGCCCCCCACTCTGCCCATGGGACCTAGAAGTCATCAGCAAGGTAGGCTCTGGAGAGGGACCTAGTTAGTCTCTGGCCCTAGGGCATCTGACTCAAAGGTTCCAGCTGCTGTGTGGAGGTCGCCTCCAGGACCACTTCAGCCCACAGTGATGCTGAAGCCACAATGGAATCTGTTGCGCCAGTGATTGAGGAAGGCTCCGAGGGCAAGAGTGACGGGCAAGGGGGGCATCTTCTTCTCCAACACAGCACCAACACACCAGTTACTGTCCACCAGGCCTGCCAGGCAAGAGGACACTGGTCAGGCTGTATAGCAGGACTTGGAGTAAGGAGTTAACAGAAGCAAGGTAGAGCCTCCTCCCTTCCTGTGTAACCCCAAATCCCTCACCAGTTCCAAACATCACAATAACCCTCACCTCTAAACACCATATTGGCCTGGGGCAGAGTCAGGTGGTAACCAAAGGAGAAGGTTGTATCTTGTAGCCTTGTATTTGCCTCAAACTCCACTCCAACCTGAACCTGAGAAACAGGGACAAAAATGAGAGGAGGAACCGACACCTTGAATACCAGAAGAGTCCCAACAGGGTAGCAGCAAGCTGGGCGCATGTGTGGAAATATATACCAGAGTGAGGGTAGGAAGAATAATAGGCCAGGAGCCTGGGGGGACTTGAGGGGCAGAGTTTCTCGCTGACCGACTAGGATAGCGGATCAGGTCAATAATCTTACCTGTTCATTTGCCCTGTGGTAATAACTTGCATGGGCCCCACCTGACCCAACGTTCAACGTAGCTACCCAGTGTAGAGCTGGGGGAAAAAGTACAGAGGGAAAAGACAGTTACTGTAGTAGACATGGGCAAGGAACCCCAGAAAAGCCCACAGTCGCTCCCCCTCACCACTGTCTCACTTGGCTCCGTACCTGAGTACTTCCCAGCCAGAGTCAAGATGGCCCCCTCTTCGCCTGGTCGCCGGTGATAGACTAGCTCTCCTCCTAGCACCAGCCGTTGGGTGACGCTCTGCAGGAAGTGAGCGACCATGATCACTGTGGACGAGTAAGGAGACAAGAGTCAGGTGTGCGCCTTTACCATCCAGTCATCCCCACTCTGGCCTGCCCAGAAAGTTCCTCTTCTAATCCCCAAACTACACTGAAGATGAAACGGCATGACGGACATTGTTTGCAAATGGACAGGCAAGAAAGAACGCCATCCTAGTTCCCCACCTGACTCCCCAATCAGGTCAGGATTTCCCAGGGTCAGAGTGGCTGTGTAGTCGTCTCCCCGATACTCGCCATCAAACTGCCATGTCAGGAACTTGGCCTGCTGTGTCTGGGGAGGAGAGTAAGAAATAAAATACCCTTCCCCCTTTTTACGTTCAATATTGCCTCTGCTCCTCCCCCTAGACCCCCGAGGCAGGATACCCATGGAAGAGAGAGAGAGGTGCCTCAGCGGATGGAGGCAGGAACTGTGGGTCACCTGGAAGACAGCCTTAGCTCGTAGCCGCTCTGCCAACAGAAGCAAGACCTGGGCGTTGAGACTGCCACTGCTGTCCATATCCCCCACCACGGTGGGGAACACCTGTTAAGGAGTGTAGACAGTAAGGCTGAGATGGGTAGGTAGTTTTTTATTGACCTAAACAGGAACACTAAGGGATTTCCGTAACGACACACAGTGCCCCCTGGTGGGCGTCAAAGACAAACGCGGGCATCTTTGCACAGGCGTGTCTCTCTACCCTGTCCCATTCAGAAGAGCCCCAGAGAACAAAGTTGCTGAATGATTTTCCTGACAGCACATACATTTCCTCCTCAAGACCTACGCCCGCGTGAGGGTCTAGGGAGTTGACGCAAACGTGGTGGAGCCCTCACCTCAGTGGGGCTAAGCTGCCAGTCCCCTGCGTAGGCGGTATGGAGATGATACCCTGGCAAGCCCAGGGCACTCATGTGCACAGTGTGAGCCACCTGGGGAAAGAGGGGACAATGGCGAACACGACATTCTTCTTTAATTCCCTATCCCACCCTTGATCTTTTTCCATTCAGCGGGTGTTTCTAAAAACCCCCTCAACTGTTCCGACATATGAAGAGGGTCACTGGATTTTTAAGCAACAAGTCCCACAGGCAAAGAAAGGAAAAGGGACCCCACATCGTCCCTCACTTGTCACACCTAGCCTGGCTAAGACTGGAGTAAAAGGTGTGAAGAAGAGGATCCAGGGATGGGCAGGGGGGTGAAGTGAGGAGGGGCCGGAGAAGTGGGAGCACCTGGAAATGGCTGCTCAGAACCTTGTTGACAACCAGCTTCACACCCTCCATCTGTGCTGGAAATACATCTGAAAGGGGTGAGGGGAAGGGAAGGAATAAGTACAGATGAGGACCCCTAGCCAAGGAGGTAGACCTCCCTTTCAGTCCCACATGAAGCACCCAAGGAAATGACCTCCTTTCAAATCCTGCAACAAAAATGCTCTGCTTTGAACATCTGACCCTTCTTGACTGCTGGATGCTCCAGCTGTGATCTCTGTTCACATCACGGCGCATCAGCATTCAAGAGCCTCCCCTTCTCTACCCCTTCCACCTAAGACACCCAAACCCCACATCCTCACCTTTGCACAACCGGTGCAGCTCATCGAAGCTCCCGGGGTTGGGCAGTGGTTCCTCTCGACGGGGGGTCCGGCGGGGTAAAGTCCCCAGCGGTGCCAGGCCCAGGGTGTTACCCATTTTAGTCCAGAGGACAGGGAGGGGTCGGGGTTAGCCTGGGGAAACAATCTATTGCTCCCTCTATCCCCCACGGGCTCCACCCCCCATCGTCAGGCTCCCCAGTTTCAGAAACTTCCATAGGGTTCAATGCTAGGCCTGCAACAAGGAACAGTAGGGGAAGAGAGCACCGATGGAAAAATTGAATCCCAGGCACACTCCCGCCCCATCGTTGATCCTTCACCCCCACCTGTCACCCCTGTCCGCTCTCCCATTATCTATTCTTAACCACCGCCACAGGCTTCAGCTAGCTCCCTGGTTTCTCTATTCTTCATTCCCACGTCCCAAGGCTCTGCCCGCAATGGAACACTAACCCTTACCATCTCAAAGCATCCCGCTGCCTCTTTCCCCTAGGCACACCCCGGTCATCTTGATGGGGGCAGCCATCTTAAGTAATGGCAGAACTATAGCTTCAACCTGCATTCTAAGCATGGCCATAAGCGCCATCTTGGAAATGGGCAAAGGAAGCGCTCAAAGACCCAACCCACCCAATGATGAAAAAAGGTGCTTAAATTTCCAGTGGCCAATGGGAGAGGAGGAAGCAGAAGAGTGGCAGCCCTGACGGCCCCAGAGCTTCAGTCCGCCGCTGCAGGGGCGAGTGGGAGTTTGTGGGTGGTACTTTAGACTTGAGTCGAAGGCCACGTAACTAAGGTAGCCCAGCCTCTTCAAGGTCGAGAAAAATTTGTGTGCGTTTGAGACGCCAGAGGGAGCATTTTGTCCAGCATCGCAGGAGCTCCTTAAACCGGACCTGAGAAAAGTGAAACTACAGTTTGAGTTTGGAGACGTGTTTTATGAAGAGACGCTCAGGGAGGGATTGTGAAGAAACCAGTTCGCATTACTCTCTACCTACCTAAAATCCTCTGGGGGGGGGGGGTCCCCACAGCCCTCCCACACCTCCAGAGGGCTTCTGCTCACAAACACAGCTCTCCCCTAGAAAATAGAACCCTATCACCACTGCTTCCCCGCTCTGGAATTCTACAAGCCAGGCCTTGTTGTTAGAATAGGAAAGGCTGTGAGTTTGAGGGAGGGGAGCGGGTTGTGGGCAGAACTAATTTCTGAAGCTGCCCTCTCCAGTTACTCCTTCCTTGCAGACGGGACTAATAAAATCCAGGAATCCGACTACAGCCAGTCCTTACACTCTGCCCCCAGGGCCAGGGGCAAGCGGTAGTGTGACAATAGAGCTACTTCACAAGAGGACAGCTGGAAATGGGAAAGATTTCTTGGTCATTGTTCCCACCCTGCCTCTCAGTAGTGTTCCAGCGCACACAGGGTAAATTTGGGGGAGAGGGGGAAGGGTGAAAGATAGCAATGTTTTCAATATCTACTTGGCTGATTCCACTGGAGAGCTGTGGGCCTAGGGAATGTGCCTCATAATCGTCCCCCCACGACACTAATTAGAGCTTGGTCAAAGGGCCAGGACCTAACTGATAAGGTGATTAAATAACCAGGCATCTTCGACCTTTATCTGGACTGAAACCTCTTAACTGTTGCAGCTGGGAGCAGGAAGGAGGGCAGAGGCTATTTTTCTGAATTTGTTTTTTTGGGGGTAGGGATGGGAACCCAGGAGTGTTAGTCCACATTCTCATTACACATTAACTCAAAAAGGGACAGAGTCAGCAGTCTCTGTTCTTGTATTCCCCTAAGCCCCATTCCCTGCCACTTCCGATTTCAATTCCTTTTTTCCTTTTCTTCTCTCTCTCTCTCTCTCTCTCTCTCTCTCTCTCTCTCTCTCTCTCTCTCTCCTTCTTTTTTTTAAGACAGGGTCTCTCTATGCAGCCCTGAAACTCACTATATAGATCAGGCTGACCTCCTGAAACTCACTATATAGCTCAGGCTGACCTCAAATTCACAGAGATCAGTCTGCCTCTGCCTCCCCAGTGCTGGGAAGAAAGGCACATGCTATCATGCCTAGCTGCTTTCTCCTTTCTTTTGTTCCCAAACACCTCTTTGCCAAGTTGCTATGAAAGTATGAAACCTATAGGGTCGGGGGAATGAAGTCTATCCACAGTGAGGTAAAGATAACAAGGGCTATGGGCGTCGTGTCGGAACTTCCCAGAGAAATAGCATAGAATCCTGATTCCCTGCTATGTATCAACCCCGTTAACTTCAGCCCTCGATCCCAAAAGGATAAAACGTAGGCAGATAGATCTTGGTCTTCCCCTGAGGTTATACCCCCTGCCTCTCATTCGAACACCAAGAGTCCCTTTTGCTTGTTATTCCGTCCATCTCTGCAGCGTGTTTACTCCAGCATGATCTCTGCCCCTCTGGACTTGCCATGCTCGGCATCACCTGACAGGGGTGGGGAAGGAGAAGCGTATATAGCCCTGTCTCCATTCAGGCGGGGGTAGATGCCAAGGACAGCGACACTACAGGTAATGACGAGGGAGCAAGGATGTGGGCAGCGTGCAGAGAAGATGGGGCTTTGATTGTGGAAGGAATGGGAATTAAGTTAGTGTGGGCATTCAGGTGGGGGATCTCCGGGAGGAGCTACAGCCCATTTGACTTCAGTGTCCTTCCCACCAGCAGCACTGTTCCAAGGCTACGCTCCCACTGTCGCCATCATGAAGCTGCTTGCGATGGTTGTTCTGCTCGTCACTGTCTGTAGCCTGGAAGGTGAGTTTGTAGTACGGAGAAAGGAAACCAAAGGAAAGAAGGTGCTGGGGCTCGTGGCTACCCAACTCTCAGTGCTTCTGCAGATGAGCGTGCCAGCAGAACCCAAGAGGAAGAGCGTTCCCTTTCGAAAGTCTAAAAAAAAAAAAAAAAAAAAAAAAAGCAAAAACCCAGAAAACAAAAAACAAAACCTCAAATACCTAGCAGGACACCAGTTTGGGGAAGCGGCTGAAAGCTGGGATGGATCTTGTGGGGTGTGAGGGGAGACTGGGATTCACTGCTGGGAATCCAAATGAAAAGATGGTGCATATGTGTTTGTGTAGGGGCTTTGGTTCGGAGACAGGCAGAGGAGCCGGGTCTGCAGAGCCTGTTCAGTCAGTATTTTCAGACCATGACTGACTATGGCAAGGACTTGATGGAGAAGGCCAAGAGCACGGAGATCCAGACCCAAGCCAAGTAAGTCTCTAGGAAAGGACTCAAGGGGCTCCAGGGCTGCAGAGAATAGGAAGACAGGCATTCTCATGGGAATCTTAACTCAGCGGCTGGGGTTCCTGGAGATTAGGCTTAAAAATCGAGAAGAAAGCCGGGCAGTGGTGGTGCACGCCTTTAATCCCAGCACTTGGGAGGCAGAGGCAGGCGGATCTCTGTGAGTTTGAGACCAGCCTGGTCTACAAGAGCTAGTTCCAGGACAGGCTCCAAAACCACAGAGAAACCCTGTCTCGAAAAAACAAAACAAAACAAAAAAATCGAGAAGAAAAATTCCTCCCTCACCCCAGTAGATCTATCCAGTGTATCCTCAGGTGGGGGCAGCAGGAAGTGGACCTTGAACTCTAGTCCCTAGTGTCTGATGCCCTGCTTGCTGCATGGAAGGTCTACTCCTCCTCTTCCAGACTTTCCAGGGTACTTCAGGGTGCACCACTTAGAAACCTGGGTTGGGTCAGTCTGCTCTGTCCTTCACCACCAACACAGACCCGGTCAGCGATTGGGGCCCTTCACATCAGCCTCTGGTCCTTCCCCTCCCCAGGGCTTACTTTGAAAAGACACATGAGCAGCTGACACCCCTGGTCAAGAAAGCCGGAGCAGAGCTGATGAACTTCTTCAGCAACTTTATGAACTTTGAGAAACCAGCTCCTGCTGCTAAGTGAGGTGTGGGGCACCCGTCTTCCTACCCCAGCTCCCCACTGCCCTAGAACCCTCTCCTGCCCGCTGGCCTACCCTAAAGCCCCCACCCTACCTTCTACCCGTGTTGTACAATAAATGCGGAAGGAATCAAACTGTGCCTCATGTCTTTGGGTGACTGGGAAGACATAGCAGAGTGGGGGAAGAGTAAGAGGAAGGAACAAGATTAATCTGTTTCTAAAAGGGGAAAGGGACGAGAGTTTTGGTGTGAGCTGTGAAGAAAGGGCTGAAGAAATAAGTGGTGGACAAGACAGAGTAGATGCCTGTGATTTGTCTCCACACAAAGGAGTCTCCCCCGTGAGTGGCTCAGTAGCATCACTGAAGGACATGGACCTAAGCAAGGAATGAAGGACTCACAGCTTGGGGTCGCAGAAAACAAGGGCAACCCTCAAAATTTCTTCTTAACTTTCTATGAATAGATCGTGAGGTGGTTGTTGCTTTGTTTTCTAAAAAAAAGCCCAGTGGTGTGACCCAAGACCCCATCTTTCCCTTTGAACCTGGAGAACACTGTTTCTGCCATCCCACAGTAAAAGATTAGGCTAACCTTTTTCTCCCAAAGCACTCTAGTTTCTTCCCTCAAAACCACTCATTTAGCCAGGTGTGGTAGCACACACCTGCCTTTAATCCTGGCACTCGGGAATTCCAGGACAGCCAGAGCTACGAAATAAAGAGGCCCTGTCTCAAGACAAAGCAAGCCAGTAAACAAACTGCAAAAGGAAAAAGAAAACAAAACAAAAAGGCTAAGGATATAGTTTAATGGTAGAATCCTTAGCTAGCATGTGTGAAGCCCTGGGTTCAATCCCTAGCATTTGAATCAATGTAAAAACAACAACAAAAGCAAAAACAAATAAAAACTTTTTGTTTTATGTAGAACAGTGTATATATTCAAGAAAGTCAGTCCCTACCTTCAAAGTGACTTTAGACAAGTTAATATTTTAAAGAACCTGAATTTCTTATACAGGTTAGTGAGCAGATAAAATGATACAATGGGAAAATTGTATCAGCTGTCCAGCACATGGGACGGCTAGATTGGACACTCTAGCCCATCTGGAAGAAGGCAGGCAGGTCAGAGACAGAACTCACTGCACCCTCCAAGGCTTAAATATCTCCATGAAGAGCTTCCTGGTGACCGGGAAGAGCACAGGCACTGGCAGGGATTCCCTGACTACCCACCTTGTGGGAAATGACCTCCCATTTGGACCCAACTTGTTCCCCTTGACCTTTCCTACCTCCAACCTATCAGGTTCTCTCTAAGATCCTTCTTGCTCCCAAATCCCATGAAAATCCATTGTCCTTATAAAATCTTCCACTAGGAGGGTCACATGATCTTTGCCATCACATTCCTTCTGCATGCTTAGCCCTTCAGCGATGCTAACTCAAACGTGCACAAGCTGAATTGATACTATCTAGATTGGTGACTCTTTTAGGTTAGACATTCAGGCTTCTCTACAAACCAATCAGGATTCATTTTCAGACACAAAAAACTACACTGAGTACAGAAGTAATTTCTTAGGTTCCAGGGTCTCTAAGTACATGTATACTCCCAACACAGGGTGGGAGTGTGAGAAGGCTCCCTGCACTAGGTTCCATTCCAGAGCACCAAGAGAACAAGGGTCTTATCACTCATCTAGATACAGTCAGCACTCATACCTCATACCAAAACCACAGAGAAACCCTGTCTCGAAAAACCAAAAAAAAAAAAAAAAAAGAGCAAGGTAGCAAGGCAGTGGTAGTGCACACCGTTAATCCCAGCACTTGGGAGGCAGAGTTTGAGGCTAGCCTGGCCTGCAGTATGAGTTCCAGGACTACAGAGAAACCCTGTTTTGAAAAACAGACAAGCAAACAAAAGAGCAAAGTAGCCCTGGAGTCCTGTGTTCTCAGGAGCTGAGTTTGACTCACTCTAAACTGTACCTTCAGTATCCAGTCTAATGCTTGGTACAAGCTGAACCGTTCGTTATATGACGAATGACAAAATGAGTAGAGTCACATCTGTAACGGCTTTATTGGAAGGTAATCCCTTTCCATTGTTTAGCAAGAGCTGGGGATCAGGGGAGGAAAGAAAGGAAGTAATGGAATATGTAAGGGAACAACCATCTGTAAGTCTTTAACGGAAATGAGCGACTGCTGGTGGACATTAACTTAGAGCCTGGCATCATGGGAGGAAGGTCAGCTAGCATCAAAAGCACAGAGGTAGCATCGTGATGTCAGCTGTGAGGGCTAAGAGAGAACCAGAAGCAGAAAGAGAATGCAGCCAAGGACATATGGCTCTAAAGCTACTGGGGTGGTTTCTCATGCTTCAGAGTCTCGTATGTCTCTTGGTTCCGGGTACTCAGGCCCTGCAGGAGAGTCAGAGGCTGATCAGGCGTTTGAGCTCATCACAGGGCCCCCATTCACCTCAGACCCCATTCCTATCAAAGTCACTCTAAACCCAAGCCTCTTTTTCTGACCCCCCCAAGGTAGGGAAAAGAGGTTCACTCACCGTGTAAACAGCATCTTTCTGTAGAGATGAAAGGAGCAAGGCATTAAAGACCTATACCTTCTTCGGGCCCTGACCCCCATCGTCTTCTTTCCCACCCAGGGACTATCTGGGTCAAGGTTAGCATTAGCTGCCTTAATCTGGGAGCACTCACATACTTGCTCCCTTACCCGTATGGCTACAAACACCCTTCAAGTGCAGCACATAACTCTCGGGCGTTGTCACCTCTGCTTCATTCTTTCCTGTCCAGATATTTTATCTGCAGCTCAACTAGATGGCAGCATGCTACTCATGCGGAGGTGAGGGGCAGGGTACAGATCAGTCTCCAAAACACACGCCTTCCCAGAGGTCTCAGTGCTAAGGCTAATAACCCAGGAAGGCTGAGAGCCTGAAAACAAAAACATTGACTCCATACCTCATAGCTGGCTATCGCTGCCTTTCTGACCTGGATCTGGAGGGGGGGGAGGAAATCAGTAAGGGAGAAGTTGGAGGTCCATCTCCTTCCCCTCCAAACCATGGAGAACCCCTTCCGTTTCCCTTCCTGAGACCTCCCACTCCTGGGTCCGGTTCTTCAACCGTCCCTCCCCGCCTTACCTTGAGTCGACAGTAGAGAAGGGTAAGGACAATACCATACAAAAACAGGATGGCGTCCAGGATATAGCAGAGCTGGGGCTCTCCCAGGGCAGCTGAGGAGATACAGGATGCCCATGGGACCCGGTGCACAGGGAAAGGGAGGTTTGTCGCTCAGAGGAAGGGGAAGGGGTCAGAGAGGTGGGACAGGGTCTTGTGGGGGGTCCTTCTAAGGGAAGAAACTAACCCCATCTTTAGACTGTTGTTCCTCTTACCTGCCCCTCTTCCCCCTCACACTACGGCAGGAGTCGGATAGGACGCATAAAGGGTTCGGTTGTGGTAGGACTTGGGTTTACTGAGGGTTACAGACTTCCCTCTCAGCCCTGACCTCTCTTTTCAGTACTGTGGTTCCTCAGGCATCATTGAGCACTTCTTCTACCTCAAGGACCCATCAGAGTTTACTGGGCTGAGACGAAAACCTCAGCCCAGTGGGGGAGGGAGAGAGAAATAGTGGCAAAATTTCAACAAAGAAACCACAAGAGTGTGTCTCTGCTAAGTCCTGTGACCTGTGGCTGAGGGCTGGACAGGAAGGATGTGAGCTGGGGAAGGGAGGGAAGGCAATTACTCTATTACTGGTCATCTCAGCCTCTCTGCCGTTTGCCACCCAAGGCACTAACTATACCAAAACAAGCCAACAAACAAAAACAAAGTGACTGCTGTTTGAGGCCCGATAGACACCATTGACTGTCCATGTAACGTTGGGTGGTGACCATAGCTCAAAGAAATGACCACAAACTAAATCTAAAATATATTCTTCCTCTTGCTACTCTGCCCTGTTAATCATGGTAGGCCTCTAAGAGGGGAAGTTTGTGCAACTGAAAAAAAAAAAATCACACAGGAGCTGAGAGTGGCAGGCCATGCCTATAATCCCAGCACTTGGGAGGCTGAGGCCAAAAGCATTGGGTGAGTTTGAGACCAGCCTGAGCTATATAATTAATGAGTTCCAGACCAGCCTACGATATACAGTGAGAGCCTGAAGTGGGGGGGGAAGCCGGGCAGTGGTGGCACACGATGCCTGGGAGGCAGAGACAGGTGGCACTCTGAGTTCGAGGCCAGCTTGGTCTACACAGTGAGTTAGTTCCAGGACAGCCAGGGCTACACAGTGAAACCCTGCCTTGAAACATGAACAAACAAAACAGGAACTCACAACAAGCAACAAACGACACCCCCCCCAAAAAAACAAAAAACAAAACTTCCCAAACAATAAAGTGTACTGGAACTGAACACGGTAGCCCCCACAATATCAGGAGGCTGAGGCAGGAAGAGTGTGAATGAGATCCCGGGGCTACGTGAGATCCCGGGGCTAAGTGAGATCCCGCCTCAAATGACAGCACAGGATCTGGGCTGAGATTGCTCCCAGCCTTTTCAGGACCACGGGGGTGAATGTGAGCTACTGGGCCCCGGAGGTTTGCCTTTCTCATCTGATTCATGAGTCCCTAGGACTGGGACCTCATACCGCCCAACCCCTCACCAGCTGATAAAACGGTGTGACCTCTGTCCAGTCCACACAAGTCACTTCTACTTTTGATTCTACAACACTCCTACACAGTATTACAGAAATCTCACAACTACATTGTGAAACAAACATCAGCATCACCCTTTCGCGGAGGATAAAATGCAGGTACTCAGAAAAGCTTAGAAACACCCAGGGCCAGCATCAGGCAACAGAATTGGAACTGAAATCCATTTTTTTTTCTGCTTCCAAAGTCCATTCTTGTTTGCCTACAGTTTAAGCCCTACCTCTGTAAAAGCCAACCCTCAGTCAGGTTTTCAAACTCCTTGCTGGGCATGGTAGTACAGGCTTAGAAACCCAGCACTTCTGGTGGGGGCAGGACTAAGAAATCAGGGTTAGCCTTAGCTAAATAGGGAGTTTTCAGGTTTGTCTGGGCTACATAATACCCTGTCCCCAATCACACCAAGACAAACACCTCACACTGATAGAATGCAAAATAAGCCAAAGCTGAGGGAAGTTCTTTGGCAGCCTAGAAG